TGTCCATCCCTCCATACTCTCCTGCCCCCTAAGCTGTCTCCCTGTGCATAAGGTGCCCTTCCTTCTCCCATGATTGTTCTCTCAAGGGCATGTGTCCACTTGAGGTAAATGTTCAACTCACATACCTGTACTTTGCTTGGCTGTAAACCACAGGTGTGGTCTCAATTCCAGACCTGAAGGGTAGCTAGGGGCCATAGTCTCAGTGGTTCCACCAGTAAAGCAAATTCATTTTACATTCAGAAGTTCATACACATTTTGTTTCATGACATTGATTGCAATCCCTAAAATGTAACAGCTCTCTTCCCACTTCCTCCCTGTTGTTAGCTATTCCATGTGCCCTTTCCTATGGATTTCTGCCCTCTGAGCTGTCTCCCAGTGCAAATATTGCCCTTCTGATCTCCCATGAGGAGCTCTGGTGGCGTAGTTCCTAAGACATTTGACTGCTAACAAGAAGGCTGGCAGTTCAAACACACCAGCCACTCCTTGAAAGGACGGTTGGGCAATCTACTTCCATAGTGATACTGCCTCGGAAACCCAAGGAGGGGTCACTATGTGTTGGGTCTGACTCTATGGCAGTGGGTGGGATTGCCCATGATTGATTGTTCTAAGGGATGCACTGACCTGGTGTAAATGTCACCTTATATGCCTGTCTATTATTTGGCTGGAAGCCACAGGCGTGAGTTCAATTCCAGGCCTGAAAGATGACTAGGGGTCATAGTTTCAGAGGTTTCACCAGTCTCTATCATACCAGTAAGCCTGGTCTTTTTTATGATTTTGAGTTTTGTTCTACATTTTTCTCCCACTCTGTCCAGGATCTCCTGCACTGATCCCTTTCCAAGCGGTTGACAATGGTAGCATAGCACCATCTAGCTCTTCTGGTCTCACGGTCATGTAGGCTGAGGTTTGCATGATCCACTAGTCCCTTGAACTAATTATTTCTATGCATCTTTGGTTTTATTCATTATTCTTTGCTCCAGATGAGGAGAGAACAGTTGTTGTGCCTAAGTGACCAGTTGCAAGCTATTAAAACTCCAGTTGCTACTCACCAAAGTGGGATGTAGGACAATGTTTTTGGTAGTATGTTATGCTAATTGAGTTTGATGTCACTCATGACCATAGTCCCAAGTCCACAGGTCCAACAACTTGCTCCCCTAGGGTGGCTGGCTGTGGCTAAGAAGTTAAAATGTTGCCTCCTGTTAGTTCTATTTATAGGAGCATTTTTACAGCACATGTAGAAATATTGTCTGCCAGACCTTTATATGGTCATAGGCTTATTCCCTTTTGCCTAGATATACCTGATCATTCAGTCTGTCTCCTATGTGTCTCCCCATAGATTAATGTTTGTTATTATTGATAATGCAGTATTATATATGTGAAATTGTTTATATTTGTTGTCTGAATTTTCTGTGTACATCTCTGTGTCTTAATTTTCCTTAGTGATATTGTGTTGGTCACTCGCTTTTGGTATATTGCCTTTCCCTTCACCCAAATCAATACTTGTCTCTTACCTATCTAACAATTTACTCTCCCTATCCTAATCCCTGGTAACCAACAAAGATAGTTTCCTTCCATATGTAAACATTTCCTTGACTTTTTACGATAGTTGACTAACACAATATCTGTCCTTCTGTGATTGCCTTACTTCACTCAGCATAATGTCCTCCAAGTTCATCCACTTTTTGTGGTGTTTCATGGACTGTACATTATTGTTTAGTTGCATATATTCCATAGTATGTATGCACTATAATTTGGTTATCCATTCCTCTGTTGATGGGCACTTAGGTTGTCTCCATCTCTTTGCTGTCATGAATAGTGCTGCGATGAACATTGGTGTGCATATATCTACTTGTGTCCTGCCTCTCACTGCTTTAAGATATATACCTGGTAATGAGATTGCTGGATCAACTTGTATTTCTGTTTCTAACCTTTTAAGGAATCACCATACCAATTTC